TATCTGCTTCTATTATCCGACGTAATGTGTTCTTTTACCTTCCTCCTTTCCGCTTCCCTTCAGAATTTCAAGTTAGGGCTTGCCTCGTGATGCAGTTTGATGATTTGCGTAATGTAAGTCCTATCCATTTCCATCGTCTTTTCATAATTTCTTCTTCAGCTGGAAGCTGGTTTGTTCTCTCCCACAGAAGGCTATTGCTGATGGTATCCGACCAATGGATGTTGAGTATCTTGCGTAGACAGCTATTTATAAATACTTGTACCTTCTTGATGGTGGTTGTTGTAATTCTCCAAGTTTCAGCTCCATACAGTAGAACTGCCTTGACGTTGGTATTGAAGATTCTCACTTTGATATTGGTTGAAAGTTGTTTTGAGTTCCATATGTTCTTCAGTTGAAGGGATAAGGCCCTTGCTTTGCCGATCCTCGCCTTTACGTCTGCATCTGAACCTCCTTGTCTATCGACGATGCTTCCCAGATATGTGAAGGATTCTACATCTTCCAGAGTTTCGCCATCAAGGGTGATTGGATTGCTGTTCTCCGCTTTGAATTTGAGGACCTTAGTTTTCCCTTTGTGTATGCTGAGGCCTACTGATGCAGAGACTGCTGCTACACTGGCTGTCTTCATCTGCATCTGTTCATGTGTACGTGATAGGAGGGCTGGGTCATCTGCGAAGTCCAAATCGTCTAATTGATTTTGAGCTGTCTATTGGATGCCGTGTTTTCCTTCAGATGTCGAGGTCCTCATAATCAAGTCGACCACCAGAAGAAAAAGGAAGGGAGAGAGTAAACAGCCTTGTCTGACTCCGGTCCTTACTTGGAATGCATCTGTCAGCTGTCCTCCATGCACGACTTTGCACTGTAGTCCCTCGTACGAGTTCCGGGTAATATTGACAATCTTCTCAGGAACTCCATAGTGTCGAAGAAGTTTCTGATACCAAACAATAATCATACATATTATCGGTTGGTATCAATTTATATTATATAAGTCATTTGAAAATCAATAAAAATGGCCACCTCATTAATATAAATTAATATACAAAGTTGTACATTAAAAGAAAATTCATATCATACATATATTTTCTATTTTGCCTTTTACTATTTAATTCATTTTTTTATTACTGATCTTTTTATTTTTTTATTTAACTAACTTAAAGATAAATAATAATAATAACCATGCAAAATTTCTATATTCCCATTTTATTTCAATATGGATGATATTTATTATTAGATAACTAGTAATAATTTATTCCAGTCAATACTTTGTTCACTATACTTGAAAATTATGACAAGGAAAATTAGAAGCAATATATATATGTATGTATATATATATACGTCCCAGGGTTTTCTCCCTTACCATTGACATTTTGTCCATTAGATAGAAATTAAGTATCTAATTTTTGTCATCATTACCATATGACAAATCATTCTACTGAATAACTTCATTCAATCAATAGATTTTGATGAATAACTTTGGTTTATAGGATATCTCTTTTTTGTATACATTTGTATACATGTAAATATGCAGAATAACAAAACAAAGATTCATATAGTAACAATCTAATTAACTGGCTCAATGATGAAGCATTGATGAATAATTATGAAATTTGTTTTAACTCCATAAATTATTTTTCTTAAAAAAACGTTACATTATTGAGTAAATAACAGGCAAAATGCTTTTTTAAATGTTTCAATGTAAATTAAACATTTACGTAAATTCCATTCAACTGATTATTGATTATTATTATTATTATTATTATTATTATTATTATTATTATTATTATTATCTTAATCCTGTCGGTATATATTTACGACAGTATTAGCGGTGCTGAAATTTCAGACGAAAATTACCTGAATAAATTGTTATTAACGCAAGAATTAATAATCGTATCTTTCCTATTTTTTTTTCTTTAAAATTAATTCAGAGAATGATATAGTTTGATAGGGAAACATGATTGGGAATTTGTCGAATATTTTAAAGTACAAATGTTTTGATTTCTAAATATAGTAAGAGAATAGTATGAATTGATTTATTTCATAGATTCCCTCAGCTACTCATAATCTTAATCCATAAAAATAAAACATGTGTATATAGTTTACATCGGAAATGTCTTGAATTAAATTGAATTAACATGTGGAGATTAAATAATGATGAGACAATGATACGGAGGAATTAATATTGATCAATCGTTCAGTTTATTTGTGGGTGAAATATATGAATATCCTGGAAGAGCATAAGAACAGCTTAAAATCAAAGATAAATTATTTAATATGTAAATAAAAATATAGACTAGTTAAGTAAAGCTCAGAAATAATAACTGAGATACTAGAAATTGTAGTAAAAAGTTATTGGAAAATATTCTTATGAAAACGAGGTCACTAGAGCAAAACTAGATTGAAAACTGTAGCTTTTTGAATATATCGATTCAGTTTAGAGCTTTCAATTACAACAGCTTCAGTAAGGCGTACGAAATTTGAATTCCTTTGATTGATGGTAATTGCATCTTACATAAAAATATCTCTGCTGTCACAGACAGATTATTAAGGACATTAGAAACATATGTAATCCACAAACCCATAAAATACTTCCAGTCAATATTATGCAGGTCATAGGAAACAACGATAAATACAAATAAAATAAACATCATCTACAAAATCATTTGTAGTAAATGAGAGGAGAATTACGTAGGACAAAACAGCAGTTAGGCAGTGTTTACTGATTGGCTGGTAAGTTCCTCAAGTTTGTCAGTATACTATACTTTAACCGCCATTTCTAATGATAGGAACAGAGAAGTTGAGTACAAGTTTTTCTAATCATAGTGACATCTTATTGTTTTATTGTCATAATCGAAAACCAAATTAATTTAAAATTTACGATAAAAATCTGAAACTGGTTACTGTTTTTACGTGAAAGTTAATTATGGTCAAAAGATATATGTAGTTTAGGTTTAATCTAAGCCACCACATTCTGCTAGTCAACAACAGCTTGTTTTTTAATGCTGTACGCTATTTTAAACAACATAATTGATACTGTTAACTTTTCGTTACTATTGTTAAGTAAATATCAAAGTTAGTCATTATTGAAACCCGGCCTTATATAGGTATGGTGTATCAGGCCCAAATGAACTGTAAAGAGACAGAAGCTAATCGAAATAGTGATATTGTTATCATAGAAGTCACTTAATGAAAACATCAATGAACAAATTAGTATTTGAAATATGAACAGATGTGTACATGAACCTTTAGAAAAACATAATCGATCAAGATCAATATAATTCAACTATTAATAATGGCAAATTATTTGTATGACATTTTAGACCATTTGAAAAACGTAAAAGTACTTTAAATTGAAGTCTGACAATTATGTTTATGTGAGGATCTTATACACTTGGCTATCATTATGAGTAATAGAGGATGTGTGAAAAACTGTATTTATAACTGTGTAGACTTTTCTATACTAAACTCTTATACACTTATTATTAGATGATTAACAAATTAATTGAAAAAAACATTTTTTGACATGAGAAGCGTTAGCATGACAGAACTAAGAATTTTACTTCGAGTTTATTGATTACTGACAAGTTTAGAAATAGTGGAAACCTTTACAGCTCTATCGATCACAATGATACAGAATGGGATTTCAGAAATATAAATTACTGAACATTCCTATGGTCATCATTTTACGAAATTTATTGTGTTTCAAGAGCATGTGTAATAAAACTAATTTATGTGGAATAAATGCAGCTCATTTGTATTCACTGACAGACATATAGTCAAAAACTATCTTCTTAGCCAGCGATTGAGCAAAATGATTGATAGTTTTTTATCACCATACTAATCTTAACTGTTGTTGGTCATATTCACACTACTGAAAACCGAGGACCGTTATACAGTTGTTTCATCCTGAAATTGGTTTACATAGCAATTTGCATCCACTACTCTATAAGGGATTTAACCTAGGAGCTTGAGTTATCTCGATAAGCGTCTAATCTTACAATTTTCCAGTTGCAATCAATCCACAACAGTAATCTAAAACCACTTATGAAGATTGTTTTACTTCATATGCTATTCTATCGTGGAATAGTTGTCCAGTACCTTCTAGTTAACAATGACATCCTAAATGAAGTTGGCCTGTGATGAATACCATCTACAAGTTAAAATAATCTCTACAATATCGCTTCATCGTGCTCTTATATTAGTTCATCCAATCCACTACACAATAAACTTAGTAGGATAATAACTGATGACCAGCTGATTATGTTAAAGATTATGAAGTTAGTAGATAATCTTCGAAACGATAGAACATAAAAAGAATATTAGATTTCACTGGAAAGGGTCAAGTATACAACTCAGTAAATTAGTTCAATTTTATTAACTGTAAGATTTCTATCTCATGATATCTTTTCAAATCATATTCACACAGTCAGTCTCAAATCCATTTCACCTTGATTTCTTTATAATTATAACTAAAAATCCATAAAAGTGTACTGATTTTGTACTTTTGATGCATTTTTTTAAATGTATGATAAATAATCTATCATTACGTGTTTCCTTATCTGTTTGCATCGAATCAAGTCAAATTTGATGGGTAAAACTACTAATCCAGTAAAATCAGCGGAATAACATTGAAAACTCTGTCACTGATTATTATAGTAATAATTTTGAACTTCTCCGTACCAGTTGATTTTACTTTTGTACAGTACCTTAAACATCAAGTTAAATGTACTTTAAATTGTACAGTAACCAGAAAGAATGTTTTTACGGTGAATTTCGTTAATAATATCGACAAATATATATTTGTTGTTACTTCATTATTGAAGTAACTTAATTAAAACAAAAAATTGAAATGTATTTGAATATTAATGAGATTAAATTAGGAAATTATAATGAAAATGTTGATGTAAACTAACTCATCTGAATTTATTATTATTTTTTTCGTTTTTAACGATGTCTAGCATTTTGTGTCATGATTAATCTGTCTGTTTTATAATTATATTCGAATAATGAAACACAACATTCATACTGATAATAATAATAATAATAATAATAATAATAATAATAATAATAATAATAATAATAATAATAATAATAATAATGATATAAACAAACATCAAATTATAGAAAGGGATTCAATCATTTCATTAACTTATTCTACAAATACAACATTACTATACTATGGTAATTTGAATAACTGTGACAATGAAAATGATTGCAGTCTGTTGTGAATATATATTTGCACATGAATATTTCAATTGAAAACTTCATTGAAATCATTTCATAAGTTTTTCACCGGAAGTTTATATTGTAATATCAATAAACAATTCAATTGGATACATCATTGATTTCATCATATTTATTGTCCTATTAAATTAAATAAATTCGGTTTTCTTTAGTTTTAATCTCGTTTTTAAAACATCCACTAACATAATCACACATTTCAATAAGCAATAATTATTTATAAAACAAAATACTTGCTTAATCTGATATACTACTTATCATTTGCCAATTTCTATAATGATGTATACATTTTCATAGATTATAAAATAATATTCAACCTCTATCACATTATTGATAGACAGTTGTTTGATTACAATCACTATATATATGCATATATATATATATATATATATATATATATATATATATATATATATATATATATATAATAGACAAGTGATTTTAATAAATTAGGTCTTTTAGTACCTCGTTGGTATCTTAGTCGTAGAATTAAACTAATGTATTTTACATTTCTGTTCAAACAAGGATTTAAAAAAAATTGATTTAGCGCTTTATGCATCGTTCTAGTGTTTTGCTTCAGTTCTGAGAAACGATATTCAGGCTACTTGTGATATGATTTATAAATCATATGAATACCTATTTCAAAATGATTAATAAATCTGTTCTGAATGGATACAAACCATCTGGACTTTAATTTTTCTCTGAGCACGGTGTTTCTGCTGTTGTTACCATGAATGCTCATCTTTCCCCTTCAAGAGTCTCATATCATTTAAACACAGAATTTTCACTAGATAAACGAAGATTTAAGCTAAAGTAAAAGAGAAATAATAAGAATCCTAGATTACACTGTTAATCACACATCAGACAATGAAAGATGTGTTTAAGCTATATTTCACTGACATGAGTTAATGGTCAAACTGTATCGGTGTTTCGTTTCAATAAGCATATTAAAGGAAAGTTATCTTGCTTAACAAAGGCTTATTGTGTTTAAGTAGTAAACCAATATATAATTCGTCATTTGCATAGCTAAATAGTTTGTTCAATGTTTAGGTCAGTAAAATCACAGTCTTTTTTTATAGAAAAAACATTTAGAACAAAGTACGTGCTGTGAATAATTTTAATCATTTCTTATCTAATCACGTTCAGGGCCAATAGGAAGTTGTGATTGTCAAAATAATTATAAAATAATGATGAATGTCGTATTCGATTTTATTTTAGATTAAATAACATACTGCCCTAGATTTAGCTTTCACACAAATTGATACTTATCACCAAGAGGTGTCAGCAATATCAAGGGCAAAGAAACTTGTTTAAAGCCTGATCATTTACGGAAATAAAACTATTTTTCAATTTTCAATCTAAACATCAGTCTGGCTTTAAGATCCAAGCAACAGTCTACTGAAAATAATATTGATATTATTTCATTTTAACAACAAAATACATTAAATTATGTAAGTAAAACTTGAGTTTAACTCAGAAAATGGATAGAAAGAACATCAATTCCAAGTTGTTTTTACTAATATATAATGTGTACAACAGTATCATGAATTCATTATAATTCATTTACTATGTAAAGATGATAATTAAAACAAAAACACTATTTAAGATATGTATACAAAATTTAGTTAACTGAAAAGATAGAATATTTCTATATGTTGCCATTATATGCTTTATTATAACAACAAATAAAATATACTTAAAAATTCTCAATCAAGCGAATCGAAAAGAGCGGTTTAAGTTTTGTCACTCATAGTTTAAATACTTCTTAGATTATGGTTGAATTTTATTTTGTCTTTGTATACCTTTCATTTCATTAGGGACTAAATATTTTTACTTCTTTTACCATAAATAAAACATTTTCTTTCCTTATTTAAATTGAACTAAGATGAAAAAAATGAATTTGAGTCTTATTCAAGCAAAACGTCTACAGATAATTGGTTGGCTGTTTAGACCAGTTCGCTAATGTATTCAATAGTGTCAGGATTTATTTAAATCATACTAAGGTATAAGATAGAGTCATCCTTTTCATGACAATTGAGAGTGTAAACAGTCTTATCTAGGTTTAGACAAATGTGATCCAAGAGATTCTTATGTTGTGATTGCTAGGAATGTTTATATTAACGATGAATGAATATACACCAGGCATGAGAAGTACTGGCAACCACGTATTCATGATTAACTTAAAATATAGTTTGTAATTGTACACGAGTAAAACGTTTTAGATCAATTAAATTGTGTGCTTTAGTAAATAGAATTCATATTATCTATTGACAAACTGGCCTTGATCATTGTATAATACAAGATTATGTGGCAAACATTCTCCTTTAAATGACTCCTTTTTCTACAGATATCGGTGTTCAGTTTATATGGAATGATTTAGCTATACGAACATCTGCTTTATTAAGCTTCACTCTATGACTTGGAAGAAAAAGATACTACATGGTGCCTTAATTTTTTTCTTTCTTGTTGAAACGGATTTAAAACTCATTTTTATTCATGTATTATGTTACGCCAAAAAATGATTTACGTGACACACAAAAAGATAGCATTTTTGCCAATTATTTAAACTTGAACGTAGGAGCACTTATAAATGTTGAAAAAAGGAATTTCCTTGTTAGCAGACTTGAGTCTCGCATTTCTGCTATTTGGTACTCTTCAAATAGACGTATCTGTAATCTCAAACAAATGAATGTTCCTTGAAGGATTCGGGCCTCCAACTACCTAACGTCTCTAAAAAATGTTACACGTGATATCACGTACATTATACTAGTAATCACATTTCAACTTGATCAACAGATTTCGGTTGACACCATAGGTCGAAACTGATCGACATTCAGTGAATATTCTTTAGTCCAACATGAGGTCAGTCACAGCACTAATAAATCATCGGTAATGAGTGAGTCAGTGAATTCAGGTGAAATGAGTCCGAATCCTACTGTAAGCACTATTATCCTCAAAACTAAGGGTACAGTTTGATGGTGAGTACATGAAATCTTTGTCCAGTGTCTCTTGCCGACTTCCTCTAACCATAGAAAACTAATACTCATACATTATCCACAATAAAACAGGTAATCACCATCAAAAATCGGTTTTATGTAAACGCATTAGGTTTTCTTTAAAAACACAAAAAAGTATATAAAAAATTAAAATCTAAAATCCTGTTTTATTGACTAAGTAAACAAAAATCGAATCGTGTCTAAATCGAAAGCTTATAAATTAAGAGAAAAAAAAGAAGAAAAGAAAAGAAAAATAAATTAACACAATAAATAACAGCTTTTACCAAATTCTTTTTTTCTTTGCAGAAATTAACGAACTTATAACATGAAATTAATAATTAAGTTACTCAATTTGAGGTCAAATAAATTCTATGCCAAATTCATAACCGAAATTTAACATATGGGGGTGACAGAATTCTCAAATCAATACAATAATTAATTGATTTTCTGATAAACTTAGAACAAATACATTTTTTCTAGATGATTAAATTTGAATTATTATTTCTTTTTTTTGAAGAATTTCGAATAATAATAAAACAAATTTCGACTTGAATATATAAATTCAATCCAATTTGTGGTCTTTTATTTAGAAAATTCATGAATCACTTTCATGATATTATTTATTTCGTTATTTGAACACATGAATATTGGTAGAAAGGGGGCACCGAATACATATGTGCCACACAAATCACTTGATTTGTGTTGTGGGCTGTAATACTGCCCGGATACCCAGATCGAGGCAGGTTATACCGAAGTAATCATGATCTTATACTAGTATATTAAATTTTTTTAAACTTTCGATGAATTTGTTTATTTAATGTTCTGTAATACAACAAGACCGATGTGAACAGATGATAAATTTATTATTTCAAGAATTAGGTGGTTTAAAATAATCAATAGACAGTACTTTATTTCGGATAAACTTTATCAGTTACACAACATGTAAAGTATGTCGACATAATGATCGTATAGAAGAACGAATAATACTCGTTTGTGATTGTTTATATGAATACTTTAATAATTCAGATTTTAGCCTAACATAATAACTTTGAAAAACAATAACTTCAAAGTAATTTTGTAGTGAAATTGGATTGTGAATAGCCGCAAAATCTATCACATGTGTTTGTTCTTACTTCCGATTCATCAGTTAAAAGTGCATTCATTCTCAACAAAAAGCCTTTTACATACAATATTATATCTATACAATTTTTGATGTGGTGTGTACTTATTTGTTATAGTTAAATTATCATCAAGACAAACTGAAAAAAAAAAGAAACTAAACATATTTATTGTCAGTCTGGCGGTTTACACATACAAAATTAATGGGATATAAATACTAACTCAATATAAGCACATGGTTAATTATGTTAAATGATAATAAAACATTAAATTATAATGTGTTCAAGAACAGAGGAAATATATTTATCAAAGGAATAATAAGAAAAAAAACTGTTACTAAAGTAGAAAATCATAATTTAAAAATGCTAGAAAATTAACCAAATAGGCAATTATTCTATGCGTGTTTAACTATATTGAATAATTAATCACAAAATAAGACAAAATAAATATTGTAGCTTATATTCCAACAATGTTTGATTAATGGTCTCAACAACAAGGATAATAATTATAATAATAATAACAATAATAAATCGAAGTGAACAATCAAAACTATATATCTGAAAAAAAAAACTGGTTAAATTATTACTCAAATCCATTGCATCATCGATGAGGTCGAACCATGATGCAGTTTTGATAGAATAATACATAACTTAAATGAATCAACTATTTGAAATAATCGATTTAGTTATAGTTGATTTATTCTTCTATGATCATATTTCTATCAGAATAATAGTTAGAGACAATAGCCTACAAGTCACTGGTCTTTTCGATGTGAAAGAACCAATTTTACAATTACTGATTATTGGGAAAAAATGTATTTTTTTAATATACACAAGTGGAATAATTAAGTCGATTTATTATGGATCGATATA